GCCTGCCTCGCTTTCTCTCTCGTCCATGCAGGAAGTTTTCGTGCCACTTGTGTGACAGAAGCTTCACAGAGAAGTGGGCCCTCAACAACCACATGAAACTCCACACGGGAGAAAAGCCGTTCAAGTGCACCTGGCCCACGTGTCACTACTCCTTCCTCACGGCCTCCGCCATGAAGGACCACTACCGCACGCACACAGGTGTGCCCGCGCGCCGCAGCCCGGCGGGCCCCGAGGGGCTTCCCTGTCTGTTCAAGGTTGTGGTCATTGCATGTTAGAAGGTACATGGTATCAAGAAAAAAGGGTGTGGTATCATTTCCTTGGGTTTCAGTGATACTCAAGGTAATTTTAGCGTATGAGTGTGTGTGCGCACACACGTGTTTAAATAAAGCAAGTTTCATGTTTCAAAGGTGATTTATGTTGTGTGTGTACATGTAGGTGTATGTGTTCAAACATCTCTGTAGGTGGGATCTTGATAGATCATTTGGAGAGACTGTATTCATAGAGAACCAGTCTTATATTTTGTTACTGATGTGAGCTCAGTGCTGTCATGTTTTTGAACATTATTGAATCTTGTTTCTGTGTACCACTTAAAATGTTTTAAATCAAATTAATATTTCTCTTAAGAGAATACTAGCAGATCCAAGACTTTTCCTTTCTTTTTTAAAGTTAACACAGAGAGACTAATCTGAATTTAGCTAGTATAAATTTTTCAGATAATCATTTATTTAAAAAGTACAAATTCACATCCATTGTACATCAAAACATTTCACAGACTGTTTGGAATTTAAACCAACTAAGAGTAGAAGCAGCATCCGGAATACATCTGTGCTAGGCATGGTCCTGAGACCTCTCCATTTGGGCCTTCGTAATATATTTCCCCTGGCCATATTCAGCATTTATGACGTGGTTTTCATTATCCAAGGACCGCGGCCCCTGCACGCGTCACCGGTGTGTGGTTGGGGGCCCGCCTTGGCTCCCCGTGGCTGTGTTACTGTGAGCTCTGTGGTGTTTGTGTGGCCTTCTTTCTCTTTACACCTCTCAGAAAGGATTTTGTTTCAAGGAAAGAAATAATAAATTTTAATCAGCATTCCCAAATGTTCTTCTGATTGCCAGGAATCCTATATTATTGTTAGAAATTATAGGTTAAAAGTTCTTCTGAAGCAGTTTGTGGGAAGCCCAGGCCTCCTCAGCTTCCTTGACAAGGGCGTTGACGATTTAAGGTCTCCAGCCTGCCCTGAGAGATCACTTATATCGAACAGCAGATGAAAAGCCAGTGCAGATGTAATTTATCGTCGGCGTTTCCTTCTAAAGAATAATTGTGGAGACTTGGCTGGATCAATAATATGGATTTTTGTTGTTAGGTCTTGTAGTCTGCACCATAATGAGAGATAGGGGACAGTGGCTGTTTTCTAATAGAAAATAAAGGATTGGTTTCCGTGTCTTTCTACATTTGAATGCAAAATGGCACACTTGAAACTAATTCAAGTTGTTAAGAAAAGTCTCCTGTTATATCTCTGCTATCATATAAATATGGCATGTTAAGTAAACCCTTTTTTACATTGAGTATATTTTATTACATTTAGTTTTTTCTTTAAATTTTTTTTTCTTGAAAAATACTCTGTTGCCCACTATCCAACCCTAACTCCATCTACCCCCTTAAAGGGAGGGGGCAGATGAAAATTGGATTTAGAAGGACAAGGAAATCAAGCCACCAAGGTAAATATGACACACAATATACATCGCAGGCTAGCATCCTAGAAAAAACCCTACACATCAAAAAAATCAAGGTCACTTATGTATCTAGAACCAAATCACAGGGAAAATTAATAGTTTTTTTGTCTTTGTGCCTATACATATCTTAAAATAGGAAAGGAGATAAAACTTCATTCATACATGCAGCACATATACCTGTAAGGAATGTAAATTTCATGAGAATTTGTCTGCTAATGTTTATATCTTACAAGAAAGCTACGGATCACAAAGAATGAGAAAAAGGCATGATAGTCTTCTTGAATCCGGAGGGAAGAGAAACACCCTTTCCTCATTAGAGCTTCCTCTGATGGGACAGCACAGCGCCAGTCTTCCCCCGCCACCCCCCAGACACGTGTGCGTGTGACTTTGTGTGTGTGCGTGTGGACAGCGTGTTCACATTTCCACACGGTCACCAGGGGTTAATGCCCACGAAACTCTGGTGATGAATAAATCATAGAGAACAATTTTGCCTCAACATAGACTAGTACGTTAATATTAACGAGCAAATTATCTTTTGGGATTTAAGAAAAAAGTCTACTTTCAGTGTTCTTTAATTGATAATACAGCTAGTTAGAAAGATTTATATTTCAAATTGATTAAATAATTAAATGAGTGATTGTAATTAAACTTTATTCTTCACAGCCCATCTACTCTGTTCTTTTTTTTCCTATATTGATATAATGATTCCAAGAAATAAACTTAACCCCAAAATAGGAAAGTAAAGATAGAAAAAGTATTTAAATTCTGCCTTTTTTTATAAATGATCATAATGAGCATTTTAACATACCATTGGGAAATAAGATTAAACATAATTAGGTTAAAACTCTGTTTATTAATATATTCATTCATTTACATGAGAGAAGCTAGTATTGCTTTTAGGTGAGGGGAAGACTCTGATTACTCTTTGATTATTCTGCCTTCCTATATTTACTGTTTTTTCTAACCTTAAAAAGGCAAGTACCATTTCCAAAACACCTCAAGCTAGATTTCTGTTCCAATACACCTAACTGTTTTAGAACAATGTAGGCTGACGTGGGCAAAAACCCTTAAAAGACTTGTTGCATTAAACATCCAAATGAGTAAAGCCGGTTAAGATACATACAGATGATTTGTTTCATTTTTTGGAAGTATGATTTCAGTGCCTCTCTCCAAGGTTAGCATTTGTATTCTTTGGTCCTTCTTTGGGAGCCTTCTGGGGTAGCCTGTCTGTGTGCCAGCACTTACTGCCCAGATATGCTGTGGACGAGAGAGAGATTGCACGTGTGTGTGCACTGTGGGGCAGAGTGTTAGCTTGTGTAAAAATGTTTTAAAAATGAGCATTTACACATTTCACAAATATGAAGTCTGCCAAATCTCTCTCTCATTGTTGCAGAATTTTCCAGCCAGGAGTCATCATTAAAGATGAGTAATATGAATTTTTATACAATTTCTTTAGCAATCCCTAGACCTTTTTTTTGTACCACGGAAGTTTGAGAAACATAAACAGCACTGAATTGCTATTGGTATTGAGTGATATGGATTTTATTTACTTGGGATCTTCAGTATATTTAAGGAAACCATTTCATTCATATTATTAAGTAGGACATTATTAAAGAAGACTCTGATAGAATCAGGTAAAACCAATTCAGTATCCTTCAGTTGTTAGAAAATTCAGTGTTTTATTTAAGCAGAATCATATATACTGTATATTAACTATTCCAAGCAATCTTTACTCAGCTCAGAAAGGCCAGATGTATGGGAATTGTAAAAAATCAGGATATGCATAAAAACTGTTCAAGTGCATAAAGCTGCCCCATCTGGAAGACATCTACCAGAAATGAAGTTGTACAAAACCATTCCATTGATAATAAAGCTAATTTTTATGGGTCTGACAAGTATGTAATTATGTTCAGTGGTGCTTTTCAGATTTTATCACAGTCAATAAACCGCAGTGGTAATTTCATTCCCATTTGACATATTTACATGGAAACATTTGATTGGAGGGATTAGTAACCCTGAAAGCCTTGATAGACATGTTTTAATGGTCTGTGACCTCCGCAGTCCCTCATCTGTTTATTGTCGCAACAGGCGAGAAGTCGTTCCTGTGTGACCTCTGTGGCTTTGCTGGCGGGACCCGGCACGCCCTCACCAAGCACCGCCGGCAGCACACAGGTCAGTGTGGCCCCAGTCAGGGCCGGCCCCTCGCACGTGCTGTTGGGCCTCAATTGCCTCGCACGTGCTGTTGGGCCTCAATTGCCTGTCTTGTCAATTTTTGTGAAATCTGCATACTTGAGGGTCTACTGAAAATTCTACTTGAATAATATAAGATTGTTTTGATATATTTGTAAAGTAAACCTACTGTGGGTGTTGTGGGTCAGGTGTCCTCTGTAAATTCATGGTAAGCAGGAGGGAGAAAAGTGTGTGTCCTCCAGCGTGCAGCCATACCAGACACTTCTGCAGAGGCAAGGCCCTCCTTCTGCGGGAGGACAGGGCGCCGTGTTCCTTTCACGTGCTCTCCTCCTCCTCCCAGCCAGGCTCTGCCGCCTGCCTTCCCACTCGCCCGTCTCTCGGCTGCTGCTTACCTGCTCACCCACCGCCCTGCCCTTCCATCTCTCTCCTGGCCTACCTGACCACCTGGCCGTCCATCCCTCTGCCAACAGGACCGAGTAGCTGTGGTTGTGGGTTGATGCCGTTTCACTTATTTTTGCTACCAAGAATGGAAGGCAATGAAGAGGCAGCTTAAGTAGATAAGGGCATTGATGAGAATCTTTTTTTTTCCATGATGTGCATTCTTGGTGATTCAACAAAATAAAATAGATGCCTTGGTTAGGAACACATAAGGATGCAAAGTTCTAAACGTTTGTTAAGGTTGATTACCTACTTGGTATGCTGCAATAGGTCTTACAAGTAATTACTTTAAATTCTGAATTATATATGCCTGGGACAGTGCTGATGTGTGGTGTTGTCTCTTGTGATTATTAATAGAACCACGTTTTACTCTCAGAAGTGTTCTAGTTTAGATGATAAATCGTATAGTAACAGAATGTATAACTGACTCAGTGTTAGACGTTTTCTTGAGCACTGTGAGAACGGTTGAGTTGGCAGTTACACTCAAAATGGCGTAAAATTAAGACACATGAAATATGTTGTTTATGGTATTTTGATTCTTGGTATGTTATATTCAACAGTTAGCTACAAGGAGTTTTAATGCCCATTATGGTATTTAAAGACCAATGAACATTAATGCCAGTCATTCCTTTTAGATCTAAAGTTTATATGATTCAAATTTCTATATGGGATAAAGGTTACTGAGTTGAGAAATTTCCAGTGTTTAACATAATGTTGGAAATACACTTAACTTTATAAACTTAAAACTCCATTTTAAGTGTACGGTAGCAACCTGTGATCACATTTTTTTTTTTAAATCTGGGGGTTTAAAGATTCAACGTAAGAAATGGCAGACAAGCCCAGTGGTTGGCAGTCAACCTTGGCTGCTATTTTGGAGAAGTTGGAAATACATGTGTTTTTTTGGTTTTTTGTTTCTTAATATTTTCAGTTTATTGATGCCCAAACTGCTACCATTCAGGTGTTATTGTTGCTCACCTGGTCTCACCCTGGCGTGGCCCCGGGGGCCAGCAGACCCGCCCGTGTGCCACCTGGGCCAGCCTGGCAGGGCTCCCCCTTCCCGCCGCGGTGGGGACGGAATGCTGTGATCACAGGCGTTTACAGGTGATCGATCATGAAGCCTGCATCGAGCAGGCACAACTTTATATTTTATGTCAGGACCAGAGGCTCCTTATTACTTTGCTATTAACTTTATACCATATAGGACAATGTCTCACAGACAGAGGCATCTGTCTTTTTGGCATTTATCTGCCTCTATGGCACAAATCAAACATGATTCTTTAATACCAAAGTCAGTTCTTAAGACTGTTTGCTTCAGCCAAACAGCTTAGTACAACTCAGCCTAGGCCCTTAGCTTTTACACCAGATTGATAGTATTTAAGCAACACACAACTTTTTTCCCCAAGGTTAGATTTCTTTGGCTCTTTTGAAACCTGTGTTTCTCTGATGTATTCCTCTTTGACACGGTTTACCTTTTTACCGCAGAGTGCCCACCCAAATTACAGTCAGCTTGGAAGGGGCTCGGTATCAGAAGTGTTCCAAATGGCGTAAATAATTCCCGGCTGCAATACAGGCTGTCTCGGGGGCTGACACAAAACATCTTCCATCCCAAGATTTACTTTTATCACCTGTCAGAGACCCTTGATTCAAGGGCACAGGAGCAGCTCCTCGCGTGCAGCGGGAGTCATGGCCGGAGTGCCCCGCGACTGGTGGCTTGTGGCGCACGGGGCCCCGCTCCCGGCCGCACCCTGCTCCCGGCCGCACCCCGCTCGTGTGCCCCCGCCGGCTTTCTGTCAGTCTTCTGTCAGAGGAACCTCAGACGCAGAACACTCCTTGTGGCTTTTTTGGCTGAGATTGTTGCTTGTACAGGGAAGTGTGAAGAGCAACATGGTTCACAGTAGCATGTGCTGTTCCATAAGGGAAAATGGGAGGAAAGGAAGTCTCACCACCAGGATGTGGGCAGGCAGCCCTGGGGACCCGCAGGTGGCGTTGCGCAGGGCCAGTTACCGTCTCACTCAGCTTCATTCATCCTCCTGGCTTTGGAGTGACAGGATCCCTGAGGACTGTTCCCAGTGTGCCAGGTCAGTTTGATCAGTCCAGAAATTTTTCCTTAATCAGCGTGTACACCTCCTCATACAGTGCCTGTCTCAGTTCATGCAGCTAACAGATACTAGCAAACTGCAATTCTTGTATAAAGTTTGTAAGATTTTCTTCAAATTTTACAATCTAGAAGTTGCATTTATGTATTTATTTTTTGCTGGATATTGAGACTAACGGACAAGAGCTTCTGTTTTTCTGAAGTGTGTTTCCTTGAAGAAATTACCAGAAATTTCTTGAAAAGATTGTTTCTGGATTAAAAAAAATACCAAGGAAAACATTCACATAATAGTATTGAACGTGTAACAAAATGAATGAGATATAAATCAACTGCTATGTACAGATGTGAATAAATTGTGGTCTATATAAATTGACATGGAGTGGTCTCCTGTCAAGAACTCAGACGTGCTTGAACCTTCCTTTACTTAGTGGTTGTAGCCAGTATTTTATGAAGTATATTTGGGTAGCATTTCTCTGTCAGCCTATGAGAGTATTTAAAATTTCTTAAGTTCACACAGTTTAATCGATAGTGTTGTCAGGTTAAATATGAAATGACAATATACAGTTTATTGCAGTATAATGCCAACTTAATATGAACTTCAAATTGTTAGGGTTATAGAGAATATGAATGACATTATTCTTTACAAGTGTTTTTTTAAATTTTAAATTGTGTCACATAAAAATGCAATGAACGTTTAAATGAAATAACCTTGTTGCATTTACCATTTTTTAAGTGCTTATGTTAAACCTTCTCACCAAGAAAATTAACTCTGAAGGGCTTGGATGACCTTTTATTTATACCACTAACTCGTAGTGAGTCCATAATGTCACCCATCTTGATTCCTGCCAGATCTATGAAAAATGGAGAAAGACGTCTACAAAGGCTATTAGAATAGACCAGTGAGCAGGGAGTCAGGATGCCAACACACTCAGATACTTTGGTTGAATGGAGTAAGGAGACGTCAGAATACATTTGTGAATTTGCTTAATGAAAAAAAAAGCTTTAAATTGTTTGACCCCTTAGATTCATCATATTAAAAGTGGAAGATTCATACTACCTAATTTGAAGTCTTACATAGCTACAATGATCATGACAGTATTGTATTGGCATAAAGATTTCCAGATAGATCAATGGAGCAGAACAGACTCATGCATTTATTTGTCACTTGTTTTCAACCAAGGTACAATATTTAGAGATAAATCTAACAAAGGATGCACAAGACTTCTAGATAGGAAACGTTAGAGTACTGCTGAGAGAAATGAAAGAAGACGTAAGCAGAGTGATAGCCCGTGGAGTGGGGAACTCGATGTTGTTAGGGTTTCATTTCCTCTCACACTGATCATTTCAAATCCTTAAGGCTTTTTTTTTTTTTTAAGAAATTGAGAAGCTGATTTTAAAATTCATATGGAAATGCAGCAGTGAAATAGTCAAACAAGTTTGAGAAAGATGACCAAACTTGACTTAAACAACCTGAATCCATGACTTATGATAAAGCTACAATAATCAAATCATTCCAGTATTGTCCTCAAGG